AAGGAGGGGATCCGGGGAGTCCTCAGAGGATAGTCTTCAGGGAAGGGCATTCCCACAGGGACACAGCCAAGGCAAAGGTATAGAGGCCGGCAGTAGCGGGGTGGGAAGGGGCAGGCCCCAGGGAAGGTGTGGGTACAGGGATGCATGGAGGATTCCATCTCAGACCCTGACCTCCCACAGGCCAATCCAAAGCCCCTCGGAGTCAATGAGGAGAAAGACCCAGAGCTGCCCACGGAGCAGGGCCTGATACCCTCCTAGGCGGGAGGTCCCACCCTGCCCTGGAGCTTATGCCTGTGCTGCAGGAAATAAAGGCAGTATTTCTATACAGCTGCCTCTGCTTAGTCCATGCTAGGGGAATGGGGTTGTTGAGCCCAAGAACCCTGGCTCCTGGAACTAGGTGAAGCCTTGGCCATACTCTGCCTCTTGGCCTCAGCGGGCATTCAATACTTCCCTCACCTCACACGTTCTGGTCTGCTCATCTCCAGGACCCACTGCTCTGGGTCCCCAGGCAGAGGGATGCAGGCCTGGGACCTCCCACAATAGGCCCAGGGTTTCTTAGAACCCACCCTGTGATTGTTTCTTCCATTCCTTATTCAGGTTTGGACTACACAGAATCCCAGAAATCCCAACAATGAGGACCAGGATGCTGGAGACCTCAGCCGGTCTGTGACATGCCCACAGCCCCACTGATTGAGAAAAAGAAGTGTAATTAGAGGTCAAGTACAGTTTGTGCTCTCATGGGTACAAAATATGTAACTGAGACCCTTGTTACAAAAGCGTAATGTTAGAAACCCTTAGTGCGCTGGGAGTCAGGACTATTATGTGCTTCTGAGGCATGTTTCAAATTCACCAAAATGTACCATCCCAGTTAAGGGCAGTCTTGGGGGTCAAAGTCTGTGCTCCCGGGTCAAAATACAGTGAATTAAGTACAAAGAGGTTCCTTGTCTTGAAAGGCTCCCACACGCAGGTAGGACAGCCAATGGTGGGGTTGGAGAGAGACCCACACAGGCCCCCTGAAGAGCATTGTGTCCATGGGAGAGGAAGAACAGGCCTCAGTGGGAAGTTCTCCAGTCAGTTGGAGAGCTGAGGCATCAAACCTGAAACCCAGACTTGTTTTTCCTGCTGACATGGATCAATCACACCTGTGTTACACAGGAATGGCAGTACCCCGTCCAATTGTGCGTCTCAGGAAGTTAAACAACATATTCACCTGAAGGAAATGGAAACATCACTTTTAAAAGCTGCAGTTTGACTCAGCCCATGAGTAGAACTACAGGGATGCATGGAGACTTCCATCTCAGACCCCGACCTCCCACAGGCCAATCCAAAGCCCCTCGGAGTCAGGAGATTTTGTAGATTTAGTTCACAATAAAAAACAAAAAACAAATAAGTAGTTCAATTGATGAGTAAAAGGCCATGGACAACATGCAATACCTATTTATGTAAAAAAAAAAAAAAAAAGATGGAAGGTAACTTTCTTTATACTCATTCATGATGTGTTTAAAGCATTTCAAGTATATTCAAATACTGTTTGCCTACTGGAAGTTCTAGACAGTGAAAGAGGAAAGAAAAGGCATGAGAATTTATGCTGATGTACTTTAGAAGTGAATCTACAGATAAGTTATAGAATAGCTAGATGTATATATGTTTGCTAAATAGAGGTCAATATTTTTAAAAATCTAATTGATGTGTAGATATCAGGGCACAGGACCCAAAATAACAATGCAGAGAAATCTATAGTTTATTGGGGGGAGAGGTGCGCACTGTCTGGAGGCTCTGCATCCCTGCCTGCTCCGCCTCACAGCTGAGAGCAGCTTCCATCGCGCCTGTTTACCATCTGCAGAGCGCACCAGAGCGCACGCGGGCGGGGAAGGACAGTTTGTAATCGGTGGGATGCTGGCAAACCCTCTCACAGTGGGGCTGGGCTCAGTATCCTTGGGTCAACCAGACACCTCAAGCTAAAGCGCTGCAGAATAGTGGCGAGGAAGAGAAACAGCTCCATGCGAGCCAGGCTGCCTCCACACACATGCCTCTCTGCAGGGACAGCAGGAGGCATGGGACGGGTGAGAGCCAGGTGGGAGGAGGCTGGGGCAGCTGGCATCCTAACACAGGCTGGGCCCTCTGCCCATTGAAGGGAAGCACAGAATGGATTTCAGGATAAGAGTGTCAGTGACACAAGGACCAGCCTTCACGCACCTCGAACACCAGGACCCGGCCTGAACCTACAGGAAGTTGGCCAGTGATGGGTAGATTCTTAACTTCCTGCAGTAAAGCTCTCACAACATGAGTGCAGGAGAGACCTCACAACCTGGGTCCAGGTAATTTTGAGAATGCATTTATTAAAGCTGGGGACAGAAACCAAGGAAGGGCTAAGGATGGGAGAAGCAACAGGAGAGAGCCTAGGTGGGCCTGCATTGGCTCCCTAGAAACGCTGTAGGAAAGGAGAGGCCACGCTGGGCTGCATGAACTCACTGAGAAGTAAAAGTCACAGTGACAGAAGAGAGCCAAGGCGGGCTGCCGTTAGCTCATTGGAAAGTCAGAGAAAAAGGGGGTCCTGGGGACAGGTTCAGGGGGTAAGCCTGGGACAAGCTGCCACTGCCCACTGCTTCCCTGGTTGTGAGTCTCATGGGGACCCTTAGAGTTTAGGAGAAAGAGAGCAGAGCTACACAACGAAGGGGGAAAGGCGTGGGTGAGCTCCAGAGACAGCGTGCACTGGGTCCTTTGTCTTAGACGGTTTATCTCTCTCTAGCCCACAGGAATCCTAGGCACGGTCCGGGGGAGAGTCTTGACAGAACATTCATTAGTTTTGCAGGTGTGCCCTTTAATATGCTGACTCATCAAAATGTGTGCGGACAGGGGTCTGGGTTAGTCTCTAGTTATTTTCACTTTTAAAGGACTAATCCAAGAGGGACCGGGACTGAGGCCAGCCTGCCCTGAAATGGTCTGGGACGTGTAAACAATTTGCTCCTAAGTGTCCTTGGTTAGCGAAGATAAAACCTCATGATTCATTAGCTGGCTGTCAATTGCTTAAACTGTTTGGCCCTGTTTAATAATTTTGTCTGCTTCCCGCCTTCTGCTTGCCCAGGAGTCTCCCTGGCTTCTCACTCTCCTGCCTGAGCTCACGCATGTCCCCTGGGACACCTCGCAGGGCTCCCTCTAGGCCCCCGTGGGCACAGGCAGCGGGACACGTGACCCGCGCTGTCTCTCAAGTGTTTAACCCATTTACGCCCTTGCCAGCGTGTCTCAGTGGTCCTGTTGATTCGCAGCCTCTCCAACATTTAATACTAATAGAGTTCTTCATTTTTGCACATCTGGTGAGTATAAAATGCTATTTAACTGTGGCCCCGATTTGCGTTCCCTGATTGTGAGTAAAGTGCAGAACCTCCTCTGCATCCTGTTGGTCGAAATTGTAGCCTCTTCCGTCACGTGCCTGCTCGTGCGCCGAGTCGTTTCGCCAGGTCTCTGTCGCCCAGCATTCGTGGGAACACTTCATATTGGTTAATGGTCCTTTTTAAGTTGTACGTGTTGTGATGATGTTTCCCCACTCTTTGGGCCATCTTTTCACAGCATTTGTGATTTTTTTTTATAACTAGGCTAAAATTACCAGTCTTTTAGCCCTGGCCAGTGTGACTCAGTTGGTAGAGCATCATCCCATGCGCTGAGAGGTCACAGGTTTGGTTCCCCGTCAGGGCACATGCAGGGGTTTCAGGATCCCCAGTAGGGGGCGTGCAGGAAGCAGCTGATGGATGTTTCTCTCTCTCTCCCTCTCCCTTCCTCCAGCTCTTTTGGGAAGGTCATCCCTGGCCACAGCCCATTAGTGGGAACCACAGCTGCCCAACCCTGCCTGGCCCACTCCAGCCTGTTCCCTCGTGGAGGTCAGACTCCCCTGAGTCAGGAGGAGCGTGGGTCTTCCTGGTTCCTGGTTCTAACCCATCCTGTGCTCCTGGGCTAGGCAGGAAGCTTGTCCCCTCAGTGAGTATCAGGCTGGGCCAAGAGCAGGGGTACAGGGAAAAAGGGCACAGACTCAGCTCAGTGCAGTCCTATGACCCTGGCCTACACCCCCACCCAGCTCCCAGGCCCGTACCAGCCCCCCTACTGCCTCGTACACCTGTCCTGAGACTCATCTCAGCCTCCAGGGCCTCGGGGAGCAGGACGGGGGCCTGGCTCTGGTGCAGGCTCCCTGCTGGGCCAGGCTTCTCTTAAAGAGCATGACCTACTTAGAGACCAAACCACACCGCTGGGTTTCTCCCTCCTACTGATCTGCGGCACAGATAAGCTGCAGACAAGCAGATGCGCTGGAAGTCCCTGGACGTTCTACCATTTCAAACTGAAGTAAAACACATAGCAAAGCGATTTGGTATCATTTTTTTCCACAATAAAATAGATCAAGGCAAAAACAAATTTGTCTTTTCAGCAACATCGAGAAGAAAATTAGGGAAGATTGTCCAAAATGCAAGGCTGGGAAAGGTACTCACAATGAATTGTAGGGGCCCCAGACTGCCTCCTAAACATAAGACTTTCACATTTTCATGAAAATACACAGGAAATTCTTATTCTGGTGAAAAATGAGACGTAGTGTGAACCACCTTCCCCAGGTTGGCAACTCCTTCATTTGCTGGTGACCTTTAAGCACAGTCTGTCCCCTTGGGGTGGATGCTGAGGTGCTGGGAGCAGTGACTCCCACCTACAAGTAAACAGGGAGCCCTGTGGGCACAGTTCCCAGGCTGAGTACAGCCAGCACCCTGAGGGCACAGAGCAGGGCCAGAGCACCTGGGGCCTCAGAGGGTAGCTTGAGCTGACTGACCACTGGTTTGCCAAGGGTCCCTCCCCTAGACATATCTCAGACAAGAGTCGTGTGCAACCAATCCCTGCAGGAAAGATGGGATTTTATTTTCAACAGACTGTTTTTTAGAACGTTTCTAGATTTACATACAAATGGAGGAAACTATACAGAGAGTACATATGAGGCTCACACCCAGTTTCCCTTATCATTAACACCTATCAGTATGGTGTATTTGTTGTCATTAATGAATGAATATTGATATATTATTATCAACTAAAGTCCATAGTTTATTCAGATGGCTTTAGATTTACCCAAAGTCGTTTTCTGCCTCAGGATTCCATCTAGGACACATGACATTTAGGGTCCTGTTGGCCAGCAGTTTCTCAGCTTTTCCAGGAAACTCAAAAACATACACAAAATGGACAAATTCCTTGACAGATACAATCTAATGAAGCTCATGCAAAAAGAAACAGATTACATGAATAGTCTTATATCCACTAAAAATTGAAATTATACTTAAAAACATTCCTGCAAACAAAACTCCAGGCCTACATGACTTCACTGGTAAAATCTACCCAAAATTTAAAAAAGAAATAGAACCAATTCTACACGAACTCTTCCATAAAATTCAACAAGAAAGAGTACTGCCTAACTCAATTCTGTGAGGTCTGTGTTACCTTGTTTTAAACCAGAGAAAGACATAAAGAGACAACTTAATACCAGTACCTCTCCTACATTTAGCTGCAAACTTTATTAACAAAATTTTCTAAGCAGATTTTCTAAACAAAATAATTATGCTAAGTGAACAAAAGCCAGCTGCTTCCCCAACCCCAGAGTACATACTGTATAATTCCCCTTATATAAGTTTCCAAAAGTGCAAACTACTTGACAGTGACAAAAAGTTGAACAATGATTAGCTGTGACATACAAAGGGACATGAAAAGTCTTTGGGGAGTGATGGACAAGTCCACTCTTAAGGTTGCTGTGACTATTTCCTGCATGTATACATATGTCAAGACATTGCCATGCATACTGTAAATACCTAAAGTTTGTTGTATGCTAATTTAACTTCGATAAAGCTGTTAAAAGTAAATAAAAAATACAGCCTATAACTCTTGGTATGTAACTAAAGTGATGCTACAAGAAAAGGTTATAAATTTACATGTATACATTAAAAAGAAGAAATGCTGAAAATAAGTGGCCTAAATATCCTTATCAAGAAGATACAATAAGTAAGAAGAAAAAGATTATACAGATCAGAGCAGAAATAAGTGAAATAGAAATCAGATATTCAATTTAAAAAATGAAGAAAGTCAAAGGCACATGTTCCATATGCCCTTGAAAATGCTGATGAAATGATTAAGCCTCTAGCAACGCTGATCATTAAGCCTCTAGCAATGCTGATCATTAAGCCTCTAGCAATGCTGATCATTAAGCCTCTAGCAACGCTGATCATTAAGCCTCTAGCAACGCTGATCATTAAGCCTCTAGCAATGCTGATCATTAAGCCTCTAGCAACGCTGATCATTAAGCCTCTAGCAACGCTGATCATTAAGCCTCTAGCAACGCTGATCATTAAGCCTCTAGCAACGCTGATCATTAAGCCTCTAGCAACGCTGATCATTAAGCCTCTAGCAACGCTGATCATTAAGCCTCTAGCAACGCTGATCATTAAGCCTCTAGCAACGCTGATCATTAAGCCTCTAGCAACGCTGATCATTAAGCCTCTAGCAACGCTGATCATTAAGCCTCTAGCAACGCTGATCATTAAGCCTCTAGCAACGCTGATCATTAAGCCTCTAGCAACGCTGATCATTAAGCCTCTAGCAACGCTGATCATTAAGCCTCTAGCAACACTGATCAAGAATAAGAGAGAGCAGTCACAAATTACCAGTATCAGGGCTGAAAAATGCACCGAAGTACAGATGTTGTAGACATCAAAAAATAGTATAAAGATATTATCAACTTTATGTCAATAAATTTGAAATTTAGATAACATTGTCAATTCATTGATAACAAAGAACTTAACAAACAACTTCTAAGAAGAAACAGAAAACCTGAATAATTCAGTTATCTACAATTTAAAAAATTAAATCTGATAAAGCAAAATTCCCAAAAAAGAAAACTGCAGGCCCAGATGGCTTCGCTGTCAAATTCTTCCAAACATTTAAGGAAGAAATAAAACCAGTGCTGCATAAAATTTTGCAATTATTTCTTAAAAGACGGAAATCTCATTTTTACGAGACCTAAGTAATCTTCATCCCAACCAATGAAACAGAAGCTTTTACAAAAAAGGCAACAGGAAAATTACACGTCAGACTCCCTTCTAAATATCGATCTCACATATTGCAAAACTGATTCTTGTGATATATGAAAAGAATAATAAATATGTTGTGACAAAGTTTAGTTTGTTTAACCCAAGGCTGCTTTAACATTTGAAAAATCAACCAATGCAGCTCACCACATGGACCACAAAGGGGAGGAAATCATGTACAGTCTTAACAGATGCTGAAGAAGCATTTGATTAAACTCAACACTTCATGAAAACAACCAAAACCCTTAGAAAACGAGCAACAGGCTGATTTCCCTTAATCTGATAAACGGCATTTACAAAAATAAAATACTGTATTTCATGGTGAAAAGAAACCAGGAGCTCCGTCTCCAAGGTCATGAGACACGCGGTCACTGTGTTGCCACACTCACCACGGGACAGGAGGCCTGGCCCATGAAAAAAGGCGCACATGCAAAAAAAGAGATTAAAGGTGGAAAGGAAAGGGTAAGTCTGACATTACTCACAGACGCAAGGTTACTCGTGAAGGTGTTGCCAAAAATACCACCTGAGGATATTTTTCCATTGATTTTTCTTTTTTTAGAGAGAGGGAGAGAGAGAAGCGCCGATGTGAGAGAGACACCGACGGGCTGCCTGCCGCGTGCGCCCCACCGGGCGGGATCGAGGCTGCAACCCAGGGCGGGCCTGACGCTCTAACCAGTGGGAAACACGGCCAGGGCTCGCCGAATATGCTTTTAAAGGAACGGGAAACATCACTATGGATTTCTACACGCATTTGTGCTTGTCATGGGTGCACGGGAAGCCTGCAGGGGCATCTCCCAGAGGCTATGGGGATGAGGGGACGGGGCCGAGACGTGGATTTCACCTGGCGGCTTGAGGACAGGCACCGAAATGCTCCTGTGTTCTGAATTCAACACAACTGCAAAGGGAACGAAGGACTGTGTTTGCAACACTGGCAGGCGGTGTATCGTCTCCGGGGTCTTCACAGCGTCATCTCCACCAGAGGAAATGCGACCTCGTCGTAACCCTCCTCGGGCACAGACTGTCCATCTGTGAGGCTCGATGCCCCTTCTGAAACAGGCACCCGGGACACCATGTCACCGTATGGCCCAGAGGCCGTATCTGACTCATCACAAGTGGCCTGGCCTGATGATATCCCTCTTGGTGGGAAAGCACAGCAATGTCACACTGGACGGGTCTCAGAGCATCCGGATACTGGGGCTCCTCAATCATTCTGTCCCAGCACATGGCTGGTTCAGTCATGCTCACCTCCAGGTGAGGACAGTGAGGGGTGGAGCTTCAGCCCAGCAGAAGCACAAGTACGCCCCACCCCCCACCAAGGCTCCCACCTGGGGGACCACCCCCCCTGGCCTCCTGAGCTGAGAGCACAGACACACCTGCCAGGACCACCCTGACCACACCCTGGGGCTCCTCACCCTGGGGCTCCTCCCCAACTTCCTCGTACAGCACTGTGACAGGCAGTTCCCCGATGACGTCATAGGTGGGCTCTCCAGGAGACACCTCAGAACTTCCGAGACCTGAGGCAGAGTGGAGCAGGGTCACACACAGACCCCCAGTATGGGCCTGTCCATGGGGGCGGAGCTTCCAGGTGGGGACATTTGGGCAGAGGAAAGGCGGAATGCTCTGGGCAGGAAGGACCTGGGAGGCTGTAGTGATCAGAGACAAGGCCCCTCAGTGCCCTCCCAACCCTGGCCGCCATCCCGTCATCCGCAGAGCCTGATGCTGCTGCCCAGTGAGTCTCAATGTGGTTTCTAGGTGGGACTTTCGAGGGTGCAGCTCAGAGTCCCAGGGGCCTGAGGCTGAGTAATTTCTAAGTCACTGTGTTTGGCCAATAAAAGGCCACTCAAAGTGAAACCCCGTGTCAGGGGCCCCAACACCAGTTTTGAGTTACCACTGGTTTCTACCACGCTGGCCGTGGGGACCCTGGTGGGTGTACCGACCTCTCTGCTTGGCTTGTGTGATTCGCAGCAGGATCAGGAGGCCCAGGAGGCCCACGAGGAGAAGACCAAGAAGTGCTCCCAGGGCTGTGCTGACGGCCCTGAGCATCAGGCAGGGCTCTGGATTCGGCGGGGGGCCGGGGCCAGGCTCTGCCGAGGGAGATGCCATGAGCGGTTCATGGAGGGTGAGCCCTCAGCGAGCCCCAGTGGGAGAAGGCAGCCCCCAAGGCCCACACCCTCACCCTCATGGCCACCATGTGACTTCGGAAGTACTGGGGTGGGGTGGGGGGCACCTGCTGGGTCCTGCTGAGCTAAGTACCCTACAATCGGCTGGTGTGTGCTGGTCTCTGCTTTTATGGGGCAGTCCCACCCTCAGTAAAACAGTGACTATGGTGGGTCCAAAACAGGCTCCTGCGCGCCACCCCAGGCGACCTGGGGCGCGCAGGGAGCTGCTGGCGCTCAGGCCCCAGAGCTGGGATGTCCCCCACAGGCACAGCAAGGCTTGACCCGAGGTGAACATGGGCCGCGGGGAAAAAACAAGAGTGTCCCGAAACCCTCAGCAGAGACCACAGCCAACCAGCTCATTCCCAGGAGGCTGACGGCGCCAAGGGGAAACCCCCGCCGCCACGGGACCGCGCCCCGGGCGCACTCACGCGAGCAGCGCACGCCCGCGTCCTCCTTGTGCCCGCAGTCGGCGCGTCCCCAGGGCGCCGCGGGGCAGCTCCCCAGGGTCGCCTCGCTGCCCCGGCACCCCACCTCGTCCAGCCACACGGGCCCTGAGCCCTGCCCGAAGGCGGCCCC